GGTCGCCGGTGGTGTCGCCGGGGGAGTGTAAGCTCCGCGTGTCCCTTTCGAAAAATGCGAATCGCGGATGAGGGAGATTAGAGTTGCGGATTTCCCATTTCTTTCCCTCGAGTTGTTCGAGGAGTGACTGCCTTTTACATAGGAATGCTTAGCGTGCTCACCCAGTGTGTGACATTGTTCTGGCAAATTGGAATGGCAAGCGTGTGTTAATTTTTGCGCATTGGGCGTTAGAAACTAGGCGATTTGTGCGGAATGCAATGCTTCCAGTCTTTCGGAGGTGGAAGTTGTGAATTACCCCCTTAATTTGCCTCTTTTGCTTGTCTTGGTGGAAGTGGGTAATTTGAAACTTGCGGGGCATAGTGGGTTTACCCTTTTCTTCTCGTGCTTATTTCTAGTTTCATTTCTTTGATAATATTTTAGTGTCTGAGGACATGAAAGGATTAGAATTGAAATTACATGATAATTTTTTCATGGAGAAAGGGTAGCTGAGAAAAGTTGTGCAGTACAATTTATATGGGATAGAAGTTAATTAAGTAGCCATGTTAAGTTTAGGTTTTCAGGGGGAAAGCTGAGCTAGAGTCATGTGACCTTAAGTTTTAACTTTCCCTGGTCAGCCTTTCACTGGCCATTTGGCAAACTGAAGTTCTGATCATTCTACTGAGAATTGCTTATCTGCGTCACCATTCACATCACTCTCTATTTCGTCTGTTATCCCGCTAGTAATCATCATTTTGATTAACTCTTTACTCTAGAACCTTGTAAAACTCTAAACTTAGACTCTTGATTGATCCCCGATTTCTTGTATTGTGATTTGTCTCTACTGTCACTCACTGGGTCACTGTAGAAGTTTTAGCAAGTTTGTCTTGTACATCCTCCGCCAACTTTTCTTGGAAATAGACCTGCTGTTGTGTGATAGCATTGTTTTCTACGTTCATGCGATAAAGGTGGAACAACTGTCTGTGCTATGAAAATGGCTTTGCTTGGCATAAACTAGTAGGAAAAAAGAAAATAACAAATCTTTATTTATTCTGAGACGTATGAACTAAGTGTGGTCTAATATACATTACCCAAAAAAAAACTAAGTGTGGTCTAATATTGGTCTAGTTGCTGCTATCCTTGAGTTGTTTAGAACCTCTTGTGGAGGTTTGATGCCACCTTGCTGCCCTTCAGTACTCAATTTGTATTACCTTTGTTCATTTTCATTGACCACAATGTAGTTTGTGGTAATTGCGGCTGACCTAGAGCCTATGCATGGTTGTATAGGTCACGCACTGCTGTTGCTCCATTGGAACGGTTGAAGATATTGCTGCAGGTTAGTCATCCAGCTTTCCGCAACTGTCTTTCACGATCGTACAGATCCTTGCAGCCATGGTGATGCAGGGATCACTTGACATGCAGGTCCAAAATCCCCATAGCATAAAGTACAATGGTACAGTTCAAGGATTAAAATATATATGGAGAACTGAGGGCTTCCGTGGACTGTTCAAAGGCAATGGTACCAATTGTGCTCGTATTGTTCCGAACTCAGCAGTCAAGTTCTTCAGCTATGAGCAAGCTTCCAAGTATGACTCTGGAAAAATTGTAGCAACTATTAACTTTGATTTCTGGTGTCAAGTTGTCATTGCTATTATCATTTCTTGCTGGGTTTTCATGTTATAATTGCATAGGATGTATATCTATAGGCAAAGACATGTTTTCTCCAAATTCCTGCCCAATCTAACTCTAATGGCTTTTAGATGGCTTCTCTTGTCATTGGCTTCTTGTTTACTATTTCCACCATTTCAGTGCCTCTTCATTTGCTTAAATACCAGTAAAATTTGCCCCTTTATTTCTTCTGCTGATTTTTCCTCCTCTTCCTTATCATCAGGGGAATATTGTTGTTGTATCAGCAGCGGACTGGTAATGGTATGTCCATCCTCGTTGCCTTATTGTTGATTTTGAATATTTGTGTTGCTTGATTAAATACTTGTGATGCTTGCGTGCTAGCAATTTTATTCTCTTGTATGCGATTTACCATTTTGCTGGTTACACATTTGCTTTACTTTGAAACATTATTGCTTGCTGAATCAGATGACTAGGGCAAATATTACTGTTGAACATAAACCAACAACTTAATAATTGTTAAGGCGCCTAAGGCCAAGCGCTTCCCTCTTAAGCAATGGGGTGTCGTGGAGAGAGGTTTCATTTTACTCGTGGTGCATTGGGCGCGCATTGTTGATGGCCATCCATGGCCGCTCTGCTGCCCTGGTTGTTGCTGTCAGAGCGAGGGGTTTTCCCCTACATTTATCTTCTCTATCTCTCTCTCTCTCTCTCTCGAAAAGTTTACGGAAAGATGTTCTAATAATCATCGAAAGAAACATCCTGCAGTGCTCTCCGTGTTTTTGGTACACAGTCCTAAGAATCTGTTGGTATTCTTGTATGTTGATTGTTGAATATCCTTGGAAATATTTGAGAGTGACCTACTGATCCAGAAATCTGGACTATATCAAAGAACATTGCTTAAGTTGCACCACTTATTTGACTGATTCATTCATCTTTAAAATGTTTTTTTTTTGAAGTCGGGATACCTTAAAAAGCTAGTTTTCTACTTTTTATAATCTGTAATTATGAAAAGCTCCATCTGTTTGCAATATTCTCCCATTTTACATTGACATAACTATAGGATTTTCGGGCATAATTATCCAATATGATTTTGAATTTTTTATGGCAAACTCTAAGAAAGCGATTGATTCATAGTGTCACAAAAACTCTATATAGTAACATTTTGGAGATGCAATGGAAATGTTGTGCACGACTGTCTCAGTCTCTCTTTTATTGTTTGTTTCCCACAGAAGATGCGCAACTCACTCCTCTTCTACGTCTTGGAGCTGGGGCATGTGCTGGAATTATTGCAATGTCTGCTACTTACCCCATGGACATGGTACGAGGCAGATTAACTGTACAGGTACATTTCTTATTCTTTTCAGGCTGATTTCTAGCATTGTTCTGATATCTTCTGGGAGGCACGGTCAACCAAGTTGGGGAAATTTTTCTGCCAATAAGAGTTTAATCAGAATAGCTACTGTAAACAATCTAAAGGAGATTATCTGCTTTCTGCCTTTTCGACTATTTTTGTGCTTTTGGCATTTAGACATTTTCCCCCTCATACCTGCAGACAGAGAAGTCCCCTTATCGGTATAGAGGAATGTTTCATGCATTGTCAACTGTGCTTCGTGAAGAAGGTCCACGGGCCTTATACAAGGGGTGGCTTCCTTCTGTCATTGGAGTGGTAAGTGACTCTCTTTTCTGTTTGCTTTTTGTGATAGGTATCACAGCTTCTCTGCTAGTCAGAGAATGTGCACATGCGTGTGCTTTCCACTTGTCCTGACCCTCCATGTTGAAATTTTGCATTTCCACAATGCGTTTGTCAAATAAACCTTCCTTGCCCCTGCTTCCTCCAGTCGATTGTGACATTCTTGCATTCAACGTATACTGATTGATGATGTGTTTTTTTTCATGTGAGATCCTACATGCTTAAAGTCCTTCAAAATGTGTATGTCCTAAAAGGCATCCTCAGGTGGCTATAGCATCTCTGCTTCCCTATGTTCTCTGAGTTTGTAAGTGACTTGTACGAAAGGAAGCAGCATCATGCATATCCCAAGTGCTTGAGCGCATGCGAGACTCATAAAATTTTGTCAGGACTATCCAAGAGCTTTTCTTTCCTTTTCTAGTGGGCAATATTGCTTGCATACATGTGTTGTTCCCTTTCTTGCTTTGAAGAAATAATAATAATTCTCTTCTTTTCTGCAGGTTCCTTATGTAGGTCTCAACTTTGCTGTATATGAATCTCTGAAGGACTGGTTAATAAAGACCAGACCATTTGGACTAGTGGAGGACTCTGAGTTGAGTGTTACAACAAGGCTTGCCTGTGGAGCTGCTGCAGGAACTATTGGTCAAACTGTGGCTTACCCTCTGGATGTGATACGTAGAAGAATGCAAATGGTGGGGTGGAATAATGCTTCTTCCATAGTCACAGGTGATGGAAGAGCTAAGGCTGCCCTTGAATACAATGGCATGGTTGATGCATTCAGGAAAACTGTGAAGTATGAGGGTTTTGGAGCATTGTACAAGGGTTTGGTTCCAAATTCTGTCAAGGTCAGTTTTATCTTAGTTAAAACTTGCCCTTTCATAGGTTTTAGTAGTGTAAGGCCTAAGGAGCATTGTTAACTTAGCTGTAGACAATTTTGTCAATGCTCTTGCTAGTTCTTCAATATACACTTTGTTTTACGTTTCTGAAAACTGCTGCTTTCATCCTCAGGTAGTTCCATCCATAGCCATCGCGTTTGTGACCTACGAGGTGGTGAAGGATATATTAGGAGTTGAAATCAGAATATCAGATTGAACTTTGGAGCATCCTCTGTTGTCCGTCAAAAGTGTGGTATTTTTGTAGGCCAGGGTTAGATAAAATGGGTAAAGTGGGGATGCTCTTTTCCTCTCTCTAAGAGTAAGTCTAGCAACATGTAATCCAGCTCTGATAATGGCTCCCCCCTTGTTCTCGTATCAATATCTTCTTGTGAACGTGCTGTAGCTGTTGGTCTCATTCATGTGCTGTGTCAATAAGTATGTAGGAGGAATAAGGCAAGAAATACACTTCAATGGCTTTTGATGCTGTGAGAAAACATTCTTTTTTCTGAGATTATACTGGAGGGCTGGTCAGTGCTCTATCATGTTTTAATAACTCACTGGATGCAGTTTAGTGCAAGAAGAAAGAGTCGAATCACAGTTGCAGTATATTTACTTGCAAATTTAGATCTTATATATAGATTATACTGGCTAGGTGATGGATACTTTTTGCACCTGTGTTTTTAGACCACGAATCGGGATAGCTTTTGAGCAGTGTGGAATATCCTTGGACACTTGCAACAATGATTTTCACTTTATGTGAATTCGATTGAACTAAACAGTGGAGACAGGACTCCTTCGGATGGGAATCCAATCATCACATCAAACATTCCAATCACTTCATGGTGAAAAAGCTGCTTTAATTTACCATGCTGAGTTAAAACACTTTGAAAGGCTTGTTGTACAGATGAATTTGTAGTTCCCAGTCGGTAAAGTGCTTAGAGCAGGCGACTTGGTTTGAGAATAAGGCTTATTGAGAAGCTCTCAATCTGATGAGTTACCGGACGATGACCTCTTCATCTTTGGACTCATCTGCAGTAGCTGGCTCTCTGACATCATTCTAATGCTTCGCCCAGTTGGAGTTATCTGTGGAGGTCGTAGCGACCGCCCTCTTGGTGTCCCTGCAATGTGGATAGAGATTCATATATAATTTATTCAGTAAGGGAGAGAGCTGAAATTTTTCCTGTGCTACCATGTGTTCTCATTAAAAGCACAAGGAAACCCTAATGAAAGGTTGCTAGCTAGCTTAATATGGCGATGGTAGGAGTCAAATGAGCATAGCTAAACGGAAATGATCGTTCCGCTACTGGAAGATGCACCTGACCTGTATGTAGGAGATGGTCCATAACAGTAATTACTTGATTCACTTTCTTTTTAGAAATGAGAAGAGTGAGACAGGAACATCGTTGTAGGGTGACAGTTGAGAGATATTCTATGATTCTATGGTGGAACTGGTAACTGAAAAGTGAATATACAGAGAGCGTAGAATGTATGATGATCCTTTGCCCTGATAAACTTCTTGATGCGTTAAGATTTAGACACTGGCAGCCATCCCACAAACAGTATCTACCAACATGTTAATTTTCTGGTTTTGTAATTTGGAACCAGAGAAATGAGCGTTAATCTTAAAATGAAGTACTGCCAAGTAGATTCCCCAAACAAGAAGAAAATCTCACCAGGTTGTTTGTTTTGTTTGACATCTGTTAGTCTTTTCAACGATGTCAAGTTCCTGCTCGAACTTTCAGGGGAGAGCGGTAATTTCGTCTCAGGTGCCAGCGGGAGAGGATCATCCAAACTGATTGTGCCTTCATCCCCGCAGATGGAGGCTCCCTCGCTACCCGATTCAGAGTTCTCTTTGAGACAAGCACTCGATTTCTCCCTCTCCACTACTCTGTAAACGAACATCTGAAATGGTACATCCGATACCGGCAACGGGTTGGGGGACTCCCAGGATGGAAATTTCTTCAGTAGCCTCAACTCGATATCATGGTAGTCCACAGGTGGCATTGGCAGGTCTGGCTGGCTACTGCAATCAGGATTCATCGCGAGAAAGCGCTTCACGTAGCGAAGGATCCTACAAATGGAAGAGAAGCTTGGCCGTTGATTCAGATCGATATGCCAACATCTCTTTGTCAAGTTGGTCAAGTACTTCGGCGAATGGAATGGGAACAAGGGCCTCTCTCCTGCCCTGATGTTCCGGCTCATTTTGTCCCCTTGAAGATGCGCATCCTCAAAGGGTACTTTTCCAGTTAGAAGTTCAAAGCAAATCATCCCGAAACTGTAGACATCGGACTTCTCGGTGTACTTCGTGTCTCTGGTACTTCCTGTCTCTTCTTGCTCGGCTAGAACTTCGGGAGAGCGCCAAATGATTCCATCTTGATTTAAAGATGTCTTTTGGGAAGAGTTTCTACAGGAAGACAGGCCGAATCCTGAGACTTTGGCTTGCAAGTATCCTTCTCCTCCTGAACTACCCCTTGCCCTCACCAGAATGTTAGAAGGATTGAGATCTCCATGGTAGATCTTCTTAGAGTGGAGATACCCCATCCCTCTAGCAATCTGAAGCATCAAGTCGATGGCGACAGGCAGAGAGAAAGGAATTCGTTTTCGGGGACCGCAGATTTCCTTGATGTAGCTGCCTAGGTCTCTGTTCATCAGCTCCGTAACCACGAAACACTCTTTCTTTTCCTCGTCGATGAAGCTACAAAGAAAGTGCAGTATATTGGGGTGGGAGAGAGAATGTATCAACGAAATCTCGGGAACTAGGGTCTCGGTATTTCCGAAAAGATGTCTCAAAGCAAAGGATTCACCCAACCAAAGTATCTCCTTGTATTGGCTTCCATTACCTAGCCGCCGCCTTACCTGGTAGTCCTTCGACCCAACTAAGATCGAACATGGCAAGAGTTTCCAATTGGAAGGCTCCCACAAATCCAAGTTCCTTAATAGCAGATCGTTAAGTCGCTGCTCATACTTTGTTGCTGAGCCCGAAATACTCTTTTCCCGGATTTTATTCATAAGAAGCCATCTATCTTCTTTCCACACTTGCTCTAACCGGTTGCAGAAATCTTGAGTCACGAGATATTGTTTGCCGAATTTCCATTGGAAGAGCTTCGGGTCCTTCCATTCTTTTTGGTACTTTTTCGAGTATACCAATCTCCTCTTCTGCATCTCATCATGATCCCAACCGGTAATTTCTCCTGCGATCTCAATCGCTTCGATGACGACCGGCATGCAACTTAACAGGTTGTGGATGTGAAAGTCAATGCAATCTGTGTTCTGATATAGGATCATGGTTTTCGCCCACCAGTCCTTATTGTCCAAGCAGAGTCTGACATAGATCTCTCCTTCCTTGAATACCCTGAGGAGATCTTTCAACGGCTGTTCCAGGATCCTCCATTTCGCATGTTTCTCTTCGAATCGCAGGTTCTGTCTCATCTCGTCTGCCACGACTTCGTAAGCGTAGGTCAACATGTCCAGCAACAGACAACATTGACGCCCGTTGATCTGTATATTGCCGCGGAACACCATCAAGGCCTTTAGGCTTCCTAATACTTCTCCTATCTGCCGAAACTGTTCCATCCTCAGATTGCACACCCAGTAACCATCCAACACACGGTAGATTCGTGTGTTCAATCAGACGTAGCGGGTGCCGATCCTAGAAAGCCAATAGACCCTTCTCAGAGAAGATTGCAGAGAACTTTAAGCATGGACGGGCCTACAACACCTTGTTCCAATGGGGTAAGATCTCTACATTTCATCCATTTCCACCAGATTCTTCCAATGAATCTAATGGAAACGCAAACAATCACCTGGAGCCAGTCAACCCGCAACCAAGAAACGCATAGAATTGTGAACAGACAAAAGAAATGGCAAGCATGGAAGAAGAGAGGTTAAACAAAGTTGGAAGCCCCTGAAATTTCTCTCACCTCCACCTCCAGGTACCTCAACATAGATACGTTCAATGGAAAAAGAAAAAGGAAAAAAAATTGATAAATGCACCTATATAAAATCTATCTTGAAAAATATGATCTTTTTTGGAGGGGAAAAAACATGTTCATGACTTATTTTTAGTCCTGTCAAGGGTCAACTTCGTTATGGGTGGATGGCCAATTTTATGAGCCGTGAATTTAGGTGACTTAGCTTTGAATGAAGAAACAATTTCATTCCATAAGAGGGAAAGTCACAGATTGGAACTGTGAGATCGTGAGTGAGAAGTTTGACCATTAGCTGATTCTGTTGATTTTACTTTATTATTATTATTATTTTGGAGTCAAATGTGTTACGACGTGGTTTGAATTCGTGATCTGAGTCCTTAACTAGCTTGACCATTGGATGAAAGTTAATAGAAGTGTACGCTATAGTTGAGTGGATTGAATAAATCAAACCATAACATCACTTTTTTTTTAATACTATTAGCAGTGTTTCATTTTACAATATTTTTGAAATATATCTTAGTCTATATTCATCTTCTCAAAGTTTTCTAGTGAAAGCGTAGCTTGCGCATGCGGTGCATGGCTTTTGTATGCATATAAAATCACAATATAACAAGAAGCCTTAATAATTGTATTTTTAGAGTAATGCTAGGCTTACCAAGTTTTCAAAATTTATTTATTTATTAAGTGATGTGTCAGACTATGAATGAATTTAAACAGTGCGCCATATTCAAGAACTAATAATAGCCCGACATATCACTTAATAAAATCACTTTTAAAAATTAGTCCTAACAAATCTAGCATTTTTTGTGATTTTAATTAGGTCCACCGTTGTTTGCGCATTCACCATTGGATGATTGATAAATGGAAGATTTCAATTACAAAATTAACATCGAACGGATAGGTCACCCATCCAACAATAGGTGTATTCACTATTTTTTTTTATATTAGTATAATAAATTAGTATATTTTTTAGGCAAAATTTTTTGTTAGTACGAGTTTTACTAGTTAACATGATATAGAGCATTAAATTGAAAGTGACCCCTCTTTCTAATTTGTGTGCTAATATTATAGCGAGTGAACTTTTTCATGGTGGTTAGTTATTTTTCATGTTAGAGAAGATAGTATTTATCTCTTAGAAAATACTAATATTTCACGTGATAATCAAGTTCCAATAGGACAGTTAAGTTTCGATCTGTTGGCCACTAGTAATATTATGTTGCATTTCTTGATTATTGATGATAGAAAATTAGAGAAATTTGAATTTAGAAGCGAATGTGGATAGATTTTCTATAATTTCTCAACTGTAGATTAATCTTTTGGGATGTGACACTAAAATCAACTACTCCCTATGATTATAATATGCTATCATGCTTAGTTTTGTTTTCTGTGCGAATACAATTTTCAATAGAATATGTACAAACATTTAAAATTTCATAGTTTCGAAATAAAAGAAAATCGAGTGAACTCAGGTTGCAATTCAATAGAGAAATTTTAAGGATTTCAAGAATCAATTTTATTCCATAAAAGGGAAAGTCACAGATCGGAACTGTTTATTTTACAATATTCTTAAAGGTTTTATTGTCACAAATTAACAAGAATATATTTTTTCCATTCTTTTTGTCTCTGTCTAACTTTAGTTGGCACAATATAAAAAGTAAAATCAAAGAATATATCTTAATCTATATGCTATAATACTCGTATAAAAATTTCTGTCTTTATGTGCTGTATAAAATACCACAAGGACCACACGCTACCCATGTAAATCTCATTCTCCCACCTGTCCTCTTCTTTTTCTTTCCTTGATCAAATTTCTCTCTTCCTTTTCACCTTTACGAAGAATAGCCTCTAACCATCTCCTCGCCATCTCCTTCCCCATCGGCGACAGTCGACACTTGCTATCGGTGTCCCTATTTGCGGTTAGCGGTGCCATGCCGCCAGCAGCTTCTTCTGCAACTTGTGCCGGAGTTATGTGTCGGTGGCGAGGCAGAAGAAGCTGCTGGCAGCACGGGGCCGCCTATCGCTCGGTGGCTCCTCCTCAACCACGATCCGTTTCTGCCCTTCTTCCCCTCTTTTCCTTTTGTCCTTTCTTTTATATTCACTTCTTGGTATGTTCCTTATTTTTGCTGTTCGGAGTAGTCTTTCATCTTTCACGCATGGATATATCAATGATTTCGAAGGCCTCGGATCATTACTGTGAATATCCATGGTGTTGACAATGGGTTGTTTTTTCATTATTTCGCAGGATTTCATTTATAAAAGAAGAATACCGATGAATGGCTTTGAACAGATTACCAGACGTGCCATGCATGAGCGGAAGATTATGTGGTTATTGCTTTCAAGTTCATTGGGTCCTGTTCCTTCTTTGACCGGGTAATGAAAATAATTTTCGTTTCAGCGAAGATCTTCTTCTTCTTTAGCAACGATGGCGACGGTTTCTTCCCTTGTCATTTATAGGCTTTATTTTCTCTTTTCTCTGTTTCTTTCTGGATATCATTGAAGGTGAAGGCCGCCTCTGACATTAGGTTAAACTGTTTATGTTCTTTCGACCTAGGTGTATGTTTGTGTTCTTTCGCCTCTGATACGCTCTTCTTTTTACGATATTTTTTCGGATTTCATATTCATATCGATGAAGGCCAGTTTCATATTCATGTCTCGGTGAAGTACTTCGTGTACTCTCACCCCTATTCTTTGTCATATTACCTCCTTGTTGTCTAATTGATTGGTTATAAACATTCTCGATGGTAAATTGATGGTTGGGGAGTTATGAAAGTTCTCCTTGGTTCAGGAACAACATGGTAGAGGCCTAAATCAATCCAAGTAAATTTTTGTCAAAGGAAGATTGTGTAATTGTGAGGCCCGCAAGTTTGAGCCGTTCGCCAAGCACTTTCCGAAAAATTGCACAGCTATATTTGTTATTGAAAGTTGCACCCACAGGTTCTAAGAGAACAATACTACAATAGAACATTAATAATTAATATGTCAAGGCTGAACTTTTGGAGAATTGACACCGAACGGATAGAATCGTTTTTACATAAGCAAGATATTTTTTTTATTTCAGGTGCCAAATTCGTAATTTAGTCTCTCTTATCAAAGATAATTCAATCTTTCGAAAATTCCAAAAATAGATATATATCTTAAATTTCATATTCATATAACATGTTTTGGGGTCTTGAAAACCGAGAGCTTTCTTTTAGGTTCGTACATATTTTTTCACACAGTGGACTTTGTTAGCACAAAGATAAACACTGCCCTACTTTTTGCGCGACGGCAAAAAGTGTTACTTGGTTATTTGTGTCTTGCGTATCTAATTTTCTTGATTTGCATGAGTAAACAATCCGTTGACCATTCTTATCAAGGGAGTGTTCACGTCCAATAGATTATTTGTGTGTTGGATATCTAACTCTTTTTTATTTATGGATTCTCAGATATCATATCTTTTAAATTCGGATTGCTATCCGCCGTCTAAAATTAGCTGTTAGTTCCCATGATTTTCTTTTTCTTGAATATCATTTTATTTGTTTCTTTAAATATTACATATAAAGTAAGATGCTTTGGTCTTGTACATGTTCCAAATTCATATTTAAATCTCTCTTATTGAAGCTAATTCAAACTTTCGAACATTCCAACAATATATATGTTTCATTCCATGTTCACATCGCACATGTAAAATGCACAAATTTTTGTTTTTTTGGAGGGAGTTCTTGGAAAAAAGAGATTTCTTTAAGATGAAACCATGATATTTGAATTTATAGATAATGACTACATCATATCCCATCCAATCAAATCCGAGTTCACATTGAACTTCTTTTACCGCTCTTATACGGAGTCCTACTCCTCTTAGGATTGGCCGGGCCTGGCCTTACCATCGTCCCTATAAATAGAAGAAACCCTAAAAAGTTGGCTGTTTCGGCCGAAGCACCAATCCTTGGACGTACGTGATATTTGCACTCAAATTGCTCAATTCATCAGCACTTGTTCAATTAATATAACACTTCGCATGTCACTTTAGACTTGAGGCATGATTCTTTTCTCGAATCTTGTGGTGCTCGAGTCTATTTGTGGGCGCACATGTTTACTGACTTGATCGACGCCAATGTTCGTGATTTTTACGTTGTTAATCCTGACACAAGAGAGAACTTATATTCTTTTTATATTTGACACTTAAATGTGATTAAGATAGTCAAACCCTTATAGAAAAATGTAGTATAATGTTGTTGGCTCACGCATTAATTATTATTATTATTATTTTGTTCCTTCGAAACCCCAATTAATTTCTATTTTTAATGCAACAGACATGTATTAAAATACATTTCCAAGGGAAAAGCGAATGGGAGAGATGGCTTCGTCAGTCCATTAACAGTGATAGTGACGGTTTCGACACTGACAGACCAGTTTGGTTCAGCATTTGAAAGCTGCTTTGGGGATCTAAAGTCCTTTGAGCAAATGCAAAGTTGTTTGGCAAGCTTTGAGAATATGCAATTGCATCTTCAAAGCTTTTCAAGGGCCTTTGGCTGAATGGAGTCCATGAGGAGCCTTGAGAAGTTGCATTTTCGGAATGCAATCGAGTACTGTTCATCGCCACTGTTCATCCTCTTCCCAAGCAGCTGGTCCGGCGCCCCGGTGACCATCGCCAAGGGGCCGCGCGACCTTGGCGACGCCTGAGGTCCGACGACCCCAGGTGGCATCGCCGGAGTCGCGCGACCCCCAGGCGACCGCCGCCTAAGTTCGCGCGACCCCATGCGGTGGTTGCCGAACCTCAAGCGTCGCCTGGGTCGCGCGACCCCCAGGCGACGGCCGCTTGAGGTCGCGCGACCTCAGGCCGCCTCGCTTGAGGTCAGGCGAGGCTGGCCGACGATGGTGGCCGGCGGTGGTGGTCGGTTGGCCAGCTTTTTTTTTTTTTTTTTTTTTAAATATCAACAAAAATCTTTTACAAATAATTTTTACCAAACGGTATTTATGTCAAAGTTGCTTTCAAATGTGATTTAAAAATACACATTACCAAACACTACTTACATTTTGAAAAATCTTTTTAGCTCAAAGGCCTTTGCATTTGCCAAATGCATTCCTCAAAAGCCGAACCAAACAGGCCTTAGAAGCCTTCACATTCTCATTTGGGAAAAGCGAAGGTGACCGTTCCATCACTCTCAGCAAAGCGACGCACCATCTTACACCACGAGTTTGTTTAATAAACTAGATGATTTTCTAATCCGGTTTATAAGAAATCAAGAAAAGTGAATCTAAATACGGAAATAAAGTTTTTGACATTTTTTTATAGTACGGTTATCGTATTCTTTGCAGAAAAAGCTAATATCATAATTTTGCCTAAATTACCTTGACCATTAATAATAATAGAGATGAAATTCATCAGACAAGCTATAATGAATTAGGTGGATTTTTTTTGTTGCCAACATCATGGATCCCGAGTTTACAAATTAAAAAAATTTGTAGCTAATGTTCACTGATCATCAAATTGGTGAATTGCATTATTGTATTATTGTAGTATCATAATTAATGTCTAACCCAAATGCGAAACCGCAATTTAAAAATCCAAAAACGACATGTTATTAAATATATTACGTTACATAGTATGTTTAAGAAATTGACTCCAAGTTGAACACGCGAGAACAATTTTAAACATACATATATTGAATATATTAAAAATTAAGAAAAAATATTATATATTGGGTCAAAATTCAAGGACTACATGGCTAATTAACTATTCGTATATAAGTACAGGCCATGCCACAAATTTCTCTCCCTCATTCTCATCTTTCCCAAAGTGCTCAGTACCTTTTCGCCCACAAATTTCTGTGTGAAGATGTCTCCGGAGAGCTCGACTGAGCAGTGCCCCGACTTGCGGCCAGCGGCACCATGCCATCCCGCCGGGAGGGGCAACGCCCCCGGCCCCACCACTGCCGGCCACTATTTCTAGAACAATTGCCGGAAATCTGTGCCGGTGAGGACGCTTGAGCAGTTTATTGCTCATTGCGTCCAATGCCGCCGCCAACGCGGGCGACAACGGCAGGTGACTCCACCTTCTCCACCAAGGTACTTTCTGCTTCCATCTTTCCCCTTTTCTCTGCTTTTTCCTTTCCTTTCTTTCCTTTCTTGACTGTTTCTTGCGTTTCATGCAGAAGATGAGTTGCCTATATATAAATATAAATACATACGCATATAGAAGTAGCTTCTTTGACGATGAACCAGTACGCCCTACTGAATGTGGCCGGTATTATGAAGGGAGCTTGGATGGCTTCTCCAAAGTCATTCGGCAGGTTAGTTTGCTCTATGGTTGTGGGGCGGATACGAGTCAAAAGAACTAAAGCTAAAATCACATACTTCCGGCGATTTTGTTTAGATCTTTGATGAAAATGTTGCTTGCTTACGCCACGCACGATTGCTCAATTTTCTGCAAGACAATTGAAACAGGTATTCCATGATATATTTTCGTACAGAGCTTGAAAAACCAAAATGCTGCCAAACTCTGTTGCTTCATAATGTATTTGCTCATATTCGGTTCGGTTATGCTCTTTATTGTTTTAGCTTTAATCAATTTACATTTTTTATTCATGCATATTAATCTTTTTTCCATACATATACTGAACCTCGAATGCAAGTCTGGTATTGGAACTTGGCATTGTCAACCCTCTCGATGTCCAAGGTATCGAATTTCACTCGTCTTCACAAAATATAAAAACTATTTCATTTTCTTCGCTCGTCATCCATTTTTTCATCGTCTTCCCCGCTTTCTCAAACAAAGCATAACTGTTAGCGACTACAAATGTAACGCCTTACACAATATATAGAGCATAAAAAGTGATGGCCGTATTTTAATCAATCAAAAGTTAACATGTGTAGTGTGTAGGAAGCACCACATATCATATGATTATCTCCATCGAAAGTGCTGCTGAGTATAGGCTTGACATTTGTGCAATTCTCAAAATTACCTCTCTCTTTTTTTGCCAGCCTCAAAATTACCTCTTTCGCTTCTGTTTTATTCTCTATTTTTGTTTATTGTTCATGTATTCCTTCCTTTTTAGAAAGAAAACAACTTGTGGAATCCATATTATGAAAAACCCGACCGATATGATTGTGAGAAATTGTCCAAAAAATCCTAAACCTATTACACTTTGGCTAATTCAATCTTAAATCTTTCAATTTTATCAATTAAGTCCTAAATCTTTTAATAATTTGCCAATTGAGTCCATTTGGTCAATTTTGACTGGAAATTGCAGACAAAGAAGCCGGCCGTCTTATGTGGCACGGCTGGCGTTGATGTGGACATTTATAATAATATTTTGATTTTTTTTCTTTTTTTCCCTTTTATTTATTGTTCTTTTGTTGTTTTGAGGGATGGCTGGCGACCCTCGCCAATCGACCCTTAAAATCCAAAATTTATTAAAATATTATTTAAAAATGTCAACGTCAGCGTCGGTTGTGTCATGTAGGACGGCCGGTGTCCATGTCAACAATTTCCGATCAAAATTGGCTGGATAGACTTAATTGGCAAAACGTGAAAAAGTTTAGGACTGAATTTACAAAATTAAAAAGTTTATGACTAAATTGGTAAAAATGCTTTAGGACTTCGTGGATAATTTTTCCATATGATTGTTAATAATGTTTCAGCTGAAGAGACTAAAAATACACCAAT